TCTTAGGTTGGAGGCCATCGCTCTTGGGTTGGAGGCCATCGCTCTTAGGTTGGAGGCCATCGCTTCTAAATTTACGGCAGGCAATCCGCCAAGCACAGCAGAAAGTCGTTGCTCTCTTGAACCCACTGGCCCTCAAACCAACGTCAGATCTCTCACTCTCCCCTATTCTCTACCTCAAATACTGCCACAGAACGCAAACAGTTCGGGCGGGCTTCCCATCTGCTGGTGCAATCGGAAGCTCGCCCAGAATAGCGTACAGAAGCCTAAATCTTGCACTTTTGACATGGAATGATTCCAACTATGCATTTTGTTCAAGACATGCTTCGGAGGTTGAGACACAGACCCTGATTTGCCAACACCTGCGCACTGGCTCAGCACCCGCATAAGAGCCGTTTTCAAGAACCATGTACTCTCCCATTCCCGCCTGTCTTGCCCACAATTACTAGCATCTCGCCCTTCTTCAGAGAAACATCTACCTGAAGACACTTCCAACGACAAGGCATCTGTGAAAGAACTATTGGTTCCGTCTCTTCCATTGCGAATGAACAACTCGCCCAAAAAAAAAGATGTCAAGATTTGTGAGAAGAGATTGCGAAAGAGTGTCCCGCCTCTTGTAGCAATACCGTCTTGTCTGGCCTCAGCACTCACGGAACTACGCACCGCTTCACATTGCCAGTCCAGCACATTCAGCATATCTTGGGAGCTCAGAAACCTGAGGTTCCTACCATTGCAACTGCGTGGATTTCAACTCCACGGCCGTTTTTGGGTCAGTTGATGGAGAAGGCCGTCTGGAGACCTGCGCTCAATCCAGACTCACCTCAATCTGGTATACAAGTAAATTAAGGGGCTCCTGGCCTTACTACTAGGAGCAAGGAGGCTACGAACGGAGCAAAGGGCATCGCTACGAACAGAGAAAGAAAGAAAACATGCTGTCTACTAATGCATGGCAACAAAATGATTAGTTTTGGAAAGGCAAACCACCACATGTTGCTGAAACAACACCACAAAACATGCCACTAAAATAGACCCGGTAGGGATTGGAAACCATCAGGAATTCCAACTTGTTATCTCAAACTAGTGTTCCTTCATTTGCTCTGGACTCCTGAATCCCACATCTTGATTCTTGAATGCTCCATGATAAACGTGTCCATTTGTGATGGCCAGTGCGGGTGGCATTTGAGAAATGTGTCCTTCTGATGTTGGTGATGCTGGCCGACCAGATTTGCTTTGCTTGCATTTTTTTGCATGGGTTTTCGTTTTGACTGACACGCAGTACGACGCAGTCACTGGAACGTGATCAAGCAAAAGAGTGAAAACGCCCTCAGGAAGCATACTTTTGAGTGAGATCAGGAGACGGGGCCGGCGAAACTATAGAAATACCAGTGAACCATTGTCCGGTCTGGCCGTTGGGGAACTGGTGCCTGCGACTGCTCCCTTCACCATTCTAGTTGTGGCATACTGGCATACTGGCATGACTGAAGCACTTGTGCTTCAAAGGAAGTGAAGTGGTTCATTCGCCAGTGAAGTGGTGGCGGCTTGTAGAGCTCTTGCACAAAGAGCGTTGAGAGTGCCCTTTGTTTGATCTAATTGATCTAGAGTTTCCACAAGGTTGGCATTCATGTTCTCGTCTGGCTAGATGCATACATGGCATACATGATCACACCAAAGCAACAAAACCAAAAAGTTGTTGGAAATAACGTTGTTTTGCTGGGCCCTCGTGGTGGGCGTCTGTGGCGATTCGCACTCTGAACACTCTCAGACAGCATTCCTGCTCCCCCTCAATCCAATCAAGTTTTCTGTACTCGGACGCAATTGCGTCTTCCCACTCTAGTTCATGAAGGTACACTGCCCCTGGTCAGCCAGTTGGACCGGAACATTTCAAAGCCATCCAACCTAATAGCGATCGATGGCCTCCAACCTAAGCCTGATGATCTTACAACCACCGTGTTTCAGGATAGAAACCAGGTCTGTAGAACAGGGCCGCTTCTTCAACACGTGCCCCCGTTCACCGCGTTAGCAGTCTGAGCTTAACTGTGGCTCTCGGTACCCTCACCAACATTCTGAGAATGTGAAATCAACTAGGTGTGTTTATGAATTCCAAAAGCTGGTCCTTTGCTTGGGTTCTGAATAAACACGAGTGAAAAACCGCCATTAAAGGACCAGATAACCCCAGACCCAACGGGCGTCAGCAGAACCTCCCAGCCCGTTAAGAGCGAGCAAAATGCAAGGGAAACGCAAGGGCAGACGTGCGTTGGCAGTGGAAGTGGGTGAGTTCAAGTGAGCTGAGTTGGCGTGAGATGATTTGGTGTGAGACTTGGACGGGATGCACAGTATGAAAATCAGAACCTCACACAAGCCGGCACCTGGATCGCCTCTAATGTTACCTTAAAACAGCGCTCAGAGCGCACAATTGCATTTATTGATGCCGACGCAGGGGACACTAGCGGCGACGCACAAACGCTTGCGGCGCTCAGCGCCTCAGGCGAAAGGAGGAAGGCTTCAATGCGGTCTTTAGCGACTGCCGCCTGACAAACAATCGGAGAGACATGTAACAAGCAAAGTGCAATACAACTCAAACACACAATGTGGCTGGCTCAACAAGAACAGCAAAAGCCTCCATGAAAAAACGGGCCATCCTCGGATGAACTCCAAGTTCGCACTTTGAAGCTAAGATGTTTCCGCAACAAAAGGAACAGGAGATGAAAAAAAGTAGGGAAGAGGTTTCTTCAAAGGTGCCTTAACTTACCTTCCTGAGGGCCTCGCATGGGCATGGCACCTGCGCGGTGCAATTGGTGTTCCAGCTTCTGTGCTCAACGGAATTTCAATTGCACTTTTTACATGTAACAAAATACACTAGCGGCACTAGCGATGGCCTCCATCCTACGAGCGATGGCCTCCAACCCACGAGCGATGGCCTAACAACCTAAAAATGTCAAATTCTCCTTCGTATCCAGCCTAGTGGGAAGGAGAGGATGTTGAAGAGGCTCAACGCAGTGAAGGCAGTGGCCTCAAGGCTGAGAAAAAGAGCACTAGACTAAGGACATCAGAAAACACCAACCGTGTTTGCCAACTACATCTCTTGCAAAAAGCAACTAAGCCAACTGGTTGTGGAACGAAAACGGAACCACCCTTCCACTGGTCTTCTCTGGAGAAGTTGGTTCCCGGGCTTTGGCCGCATCTTTCTCCTGAACTCTTTGAGCGGTTTTAGCTGGGCGGTCGGACGGCGTCCAAGTTCTTCTTTTGCAAAATCCTGAGCACGCACGTAAACCATAAAAGTCATGCCCTCTTTGAGCCTAGAGAAGAAATATGCACCTGCTTGAATGGTTTTTGCATTGATTCGGAACCCCTTGCGGCAAGGATATCCAAAGAATCTCACAAAGCCTTCTTTCAATTTGTTATGGTCGTTCATCCAAGAGTTGGAAGCCTACGGAACAGCGACCAAAGGCTCAGCATCCCACGTGTAGCATGCGAACGTGCCCAGTGCCACCAAGACAGGCGACAAGGAGAAGGAAAGGAAAAGCAACTTGGCACGTCAATTGGCCAGGCTCATTGGTTTATGACCGATCGGAACAACATCAAACTTGGACCACTGCCACATTCCAAAGCTTGTACCGAAGTTGCAATTTCAGCTCCTACGGGCTTGGAAACAGAATGCGACTAGCAAAGGGCATCGCTACTAGGGGCGCTCCTGGTCTTACTACTAGGAACAAGAAACTACTAGTAACAAGAATGCTCTCAAGTCCATACCTGGACAAAACAAAATCCATATGCAAGTTCAGCTCCTGCGGGCTCGGAAATATATTTCATAACTTAGTGCAATATCCCTCTCTCTCACTTGTAAGCAAGGCCGCAATGCAGCCGCCGCGGCTAGCGCAGCAAATAATTACATTTCTTTAACATGTAGAAGCCGTATGAAAACCTGTGTCACCCAAGCAAAAAGAATCAGCTGCGCTCAGATCTAAACGTATTACTTCTTTCGTCGAACGGACTAGTGACTAGTAAGGGTGTGTACCGCGTGAAGAAATGCAAGCATGATAGGCGTAGCCATGCTTCGTCGTCAAGGAGCCCACCCCAATGGCAATGGCCTCCAACTTAATAGCAAACTATAGCTTCTTATTGTTTCTACTAGCTTCTTGTTACTACTAGTAAGGCACTTGTTACTAGAAGCGATGCACTTGTTACTAGTATATTGACCCTTTGTGCTTGTGGATCGGCTTTTTCGCTGCCTGTCTTTGACTCGGTGGAAAAAGAAGCGGGCGAAAGGAGACATTCTGGAGATTAAGGGAGGTTGAAAGAAGAGGAAAGGCACCACAGGAAAGGACAAATGAACAGGGCAACATACAAGGAAGCATTGCAAAGCAAACAGAGCATATCATCTACTCTGGTACTTGCCACCCGAGTGTGTCGCAATTCTTTTCTTGGAGTGCCCTACTTCAGTCTGAGTGATTCTAATGTTTCTCGTTCTTTCTCTCCTTTCTTTCTGGGGTTAGCCAGTGAATAAGTAGCAAGTACCTCCCAACTTTGCCCGACTCCTTGTTCCTGAGCTCCTTCACTCGGTTTTCAATTGCAAGCTCCCAAGCATAGAATTTGATGATCTTGACGATCCTCAGCGGTTTCACATGTTGTCTCATCTCCAAACACCTTTGTCGCCTTTGTATTTGTATTCTGTCTTCTCATTCTGCCAAGTTGCTTCAAGAGCTCCACTTCCATCTTCAACCGCTCATCCTTTGCCTTCATGGCTTCTGCTTGGATTTTGCGAGCCTCTGCTTGAGCATTGCATTTTCTCAGACCTCTCTTGAAGACTGTTTTTAGGTTGGAGGCCATCGCTATTGGGGAGGGGAACACTGCCTTGTGGATGAAAGGACACTTCGTGAAAACTTGATTCCGGAAAAGCGAAAGCGACGTCGGAAACGACGATTTTCGTGTAAACTGTTTAACGGGACACTTCAGCGAAACACAGTGTCTGCATGTGTCTGCGCAGTTTTCTTGTTGAAAGATCAAGAAGCTACTAGGAACAAGGGTATCGCTACTAGTAACAAAGGGCATTCTTGCTACTAGGAGTTTCTTCCTTTTGTGTTTCCGTTCTTGTTCACTTCCTTGTCCTTCGTCTTGTTTTGTGGGGGTCCATAATATCCCTATCCGTGTAGTTCTTCAAATAGAATGAGTTTTGGGAGACTAAAAAGAAACAATGTTTCTCATTGTAGCAAAACTCTGATCTTACACTCTCCCCCGCCCGGTTGAGGCCTCAATGGCACAAATTCCGGAAAACATCAGGCTAAATAAATGTTTACAACGTCTCTAAAGTCTAAAAATCATGACAAAACCCCACAGCCGTCTACGCACCGTGCACCTAGTTTCCTAGGCTAAGATGTGGAAGGGTTCAAGTTTAACAAATGAATTGGTTCCTAGACTGCTTAGGAAATTTGACTTAACAGTTCATCTTCAAATTCCGTCCCATTGCAACAGGGGCCAAGTGGCTTTGTTTGCAACGGTGCTGGACAGGATCGTGAAAAGGATCATGACCTCAAACATGTGCAACAATCAATGGGTTGTAAATGGATCGTTTACATAAGTGTTCTTTGACAAGCATTAATGAATGACGCCAAGCTGAACTGAACAAAGCGTAGGAAAACCGTAACTGTGTTGACTCAATGATTGGTTCTCTTCTGTTGCATGACTCATGTGAGTGCCAAATTTGTTGGCCGAGTTGCGCCAACTCCAGCAAACAAGGCCCACTGCACATAGTGGGCGAGCATCACGAAGCAAATCACAATCTGCGCATGGATGAAAGCTCAATATGGCCCTACAATTTATTGACACCACCACAACAGCAACAACAACAACAACAAATAGATCGGCTGGAGACCCCAGTAGCAAAGCTCCTAACCGCCACAACGCCACAACCAACAAAAAGGGGAAACAAAACGAATCCATTAAAGGAAGTGCCGCGCGATTTTTTCAGCATCACCAGGTTGAGCGCCGCGCTTGCTTGTGTAATTCTTTCGCGCTCTGTCATCTGTCGCTGTCCTTTGGCTCCCCTCTTCTCCTGCTAGTGCCCTCCTGCTGTCTTCCTACTGTCGTCATGCGGTCTTCTTGCCACGCTTGCGAACCCTTCTGTTGTAGTCCGGCTGTCGTTAGGCCGCGCAAGCAAATCCTAAGCTACATGCTGATGGATAGCCTGCCTTTTCACGGAACCGGCTCCAGAACCTCCTCCGGAACCTGCTCGGGAACCTGCTCCGGAACCTGCTCGGAGCGGCTCGGAAGTCTATACTATGGCTGAAGACCCCTAAAGCTTCACTGTTGGGAACCATAACCAAAACACCATCAAACTGAGCCATTAAGAAGGAAGAAAACATGCTTAAAATCAACAGTCACTATTCGCTGTTCACCATGGCAGGGCTTCAACATAACAAAAACATCAAGAACATGGTCGAAACATCATCCAAGCCATAAGCCAAGCACCATCCACACCACAACCAAAACACAATCCAAACCAATACTGGGACACCATCCAAACCATGACTGGGACACCCACCTCATGACGGGACACTTTGGTTCTCCAAAAAAACCCAACATGGCTTTTGGTGAAGAAGAAGAAGAAGAACGACGACAACAACAACAACAACTCAAAATGCAATTCCCTTCTTTGTTCCGTGAGACCTGCAAGGGGCATGACCAAATCAGGTTGAAGTAGGGCATCAAGAAGGTGAATTTGTCCTGACAAACACAATGAGAAGAGTTAAAGAATGATAAGAAGAAGGTAAGAGCCCCATTAAAGGAGCCCTGACCTTCTTTTTCTTCATCTCTTTCTGTACACTGTACAGACTAGAGCGAAGTAGCAAACACCAAATCAAACCCACTGATATTCGCGCAGTGTGATATTCGATGTTTAAACTGTATGTGTCTTGTTCAATCATTCCAAGTTTGGCACCGTGTCGGCCGAAATGATATTTGTCATTTGCCTCAAGGCTTGTTCGGTACACTAAAAAAAGCACTTTCAAACCAACAGTAAAAGCATCCAACCTACTAGCGATGGGCCTCCAACCTACATGCGCAAACTATTGGCTGAAACACGAAACTGTTCCGAGTTTAGCACCCCATGCCACCTGTTGGAAGTTGTGGCTTCTTCTTAGGCCTTAATAGTGGATTAGAGAACTGTCGGTTGAAGTCATGTTGTTTGACAATGAAATGCGCAAACACTTTCCACGCAAGTTGGTTGTCTTTTTTGCTGTTTTATATACTTCCTCAGATCCGTGCGTTTTTTTTGCAACACCGCCTTGGTTGCTGCTCTTGAGGTTCCTCTTTCGGAGGTGGCGTTGCCCATGGCAATACACGCAACGCCTCTCGGACAATCCGATGTGCCCGCTCAAACTGTTGAATTGTTACTAGTAGTAACAAGTGCCTCGCTAGTAGTAACAAGTGCATTGCTAGTAGTAACAAGTGCCTCGCTACTAGTAACAAGAAGCTACTAATAGCAAACATTGCTCCGTTCGTAGCGATGCCAGGAGCCCCTAGTAGCGATGCCCTTGTTACTAGTAGTACGGCCAGGAGCCCCGAACGTAGCTTCTTGTTCCTAGCAATGATTCGCCTTGCTGTAAGACATCAGAATCAGGCCAGTTCTCAATCGCATGCCGGTCCTTGGTACAGCACATGACACCGGCTCAACAATCCCACGGCTCCAATCCCTAAGCCACACACTGGTAACCTCCTTGGAAATAATGCGCCATCAGGAATGCCTCAAAGGCTTTTGCGGCATCTGTATTTACTTGTTTCAATTCTAATTAGAAATTCAACGCAATTCTATTTATTTCTTGTTTCTATCAGCTTCTTGCTCCTAATAGTAAGGCCAGGAGCCCCTAGTAGCGTCCTTGCTAGTAGAAGCGATGCCCTTTGTTCCTAGTAGCGTCACGACACAGTGCGGTTAAAAGGTGAAAATGCCCCAGCCTGACATCCTGACGACAGCACCATTCCAATAGCATACATGTAGCCCATCCACAAAGGCTGGCAACACAAGCTGGACTAGGGCTGTTTTTTTCCCACTAAGGCAACATTATGATGTCTGATGTAGTGCTTTTTTGATTGGTGCACGCCGGTCAAAAAAACAAATGTTTTTCCGCATCAAAACATAATGATGTTGTCATCACTTCGCTTAGAAACGGTTCCAGTTGCTCTCCTGAATGTATCTGCACCCCACAAAACGCAACTTTCCCACTGCTGCATCAGCCCTTTAGGTACGCAGGCTTTGCCTCTTCTCCTTCGAAGCCCACGCCATTCACAAAGTTGACAATCCTGGAGTTTCGCAAAAAAGAACTCCATGGAACCGCTAGTAGGAGGAAGGACGCTACTAGGGGCTCCTGGCCGTACTACTAGGAGCAAGGACGCCAGTAGGTTGCAGGCCATCGCTAGTAGAATGAAGACCATCGCTATTAGGAACCCAGGTTGCTTTGGACGCACGCCGCACAGCGCGCCGCACAGCGGGCACGTCCTGTTCAATAGAAACGGCCCAACAAAGTGCAGACAGTCGTTGATAAACTTCACCCACGCAGTGCCGAACACCTGCAGCACACGCAGCATTCCCACATTGACATGTTAATACTAGTAGCTTCTTGTTACTACTAGTCAGGCACCTGTTAGTGGTAGCGTGGCACTTGTTTCTAGTAGCTTTCTTGATAATGTATAATAGAATTGAACGATGACTGGGAGAGAAACTCAAACAGCACGCGTGTGGATAGAGGGATGAATATTGCGCAAACGTTCATGAAGAGTCTGCGTGCGTGGATGTATGTACGGATGCGTGTCTGATCGTGTATGTACATTCTCCAACCTACCAGCCATGGCCTCCACCCTAATTGCGATGGTCTCCAATCAAATAGTGATGGCCTCCAACCTAGTCACTAGCGATCGGCCTCCACCTACTAGCGATGACCTCCAACCTAATTACTAGTGATCGGCCTCCAACCTACTAGCGGCGGCCTCCAACCTCGAACCTAATGGTGATGACCTCCAACCTAATAGCGATGGCCTCCAACCTCGAACCTAATGGCGATGGCCTCCAACCTAATAGCGATGGCCTTCAACCTCGAACCTAATGGCGATGACCTCCAACTTCGAACCTAATGGCGATGGCCTCCAACCTCGAACCTAATAGCGATGGCCTCCAACCTAATAGCGATGGCCTTCAACCTCGAACCTAATGGC